TATGCAGTGGTGGGATTCAGCCAGTTTGCACCTATTCGGGAGAACTGATTGTTAACTTTCTAAGCAGTTCGGAGAACCGGTTATTGGAAGAAATCTTATTTTGTTTTTTTCCCCACTTGACAGGGATAATCCTGTAAGGAAGGCAGGAAGGAAACATTCTAGTGTTGTTTTAGCCTAATCTTTATTGCCCTGCTTACAGAAACTGCCTCTCTGGTTAACCCATTGTAACAGCTAAGGTGAAGTGCCCATCGACGTGAGTGACGTTGAGCTGGCCATGCCCACATGGTGACATGACCACCAAGCCATGCCTACCCAGCTGGTCATTAGGGCAGAGAACTGGTTGTTAAATTATTTGAATCCCACCACTGAATATATGTCACTAAGTAATGTGACTGTTAAGTCAGTCACATACAATTTGATGACCTTTTTTGCAGTAGTTGTTAAGCAAACTTGGTTTCCCCCATTGACTTTACTTGTTGGAAGTAAGGTTGAGATCCAGCAGGTTCTGACAGGTTCTGGAGAACCGGTAGCAGAAATTTTGAGTAGTTCAGAGAACCTGTAGTAGAAATTTTGAGTAGTTCTAAGAACTGGCAAATACCAGCTCTGGCTAGTCCCAGAGTGGGGTGGGAATGGAGATTTTGCGGTATCCTTCCCCTGCCACACCCACCAAGCCACGTCCACCAAGCCATGCCCACCAAGCCACGTCCACAGAACCGATAATTTAAAAATTTGAATTTCACCACTGGTTGGAAGTCATCTGGGAAGATTGCATACGGTGATCAAGTGAATCTGGGTTACTGCAACCATTATAATACATGCCAGTTGCCAAGGGCCCAATCACATGACCTTGGGCATACCGCACTGGTCATAAGTGCAAGGACCAATCATAAGTCATTTTTTACAATGCTGTTGTAACTTTGAACAGTCAATTAAACAAATGGTTGAAAAATCAAGGACTACCTGCTTGTCAACTTTCTGCCTTTTATAAACAACTGTCCAGATACATCCTATAAACAGCCTTCTCCAATCTAGTTGAACTTGCAAGGATTCTGTGTGGTTGTGGCCTAAGAACTGAGCATACTGCATGAGAGACAACATATGTCACTTTCTATATATTCATCTTTCTCTTCAACTGATGTAGCCCAAAGACAGCTTTAAATGCTCTGTTCTGGAAATGGTGTTTTCCCTCTTAGCCCAATTGCAGATCTTCAGTCTAGATTATAAGGAATATAGATACGTATGTTTCTTATAACTTAAATATTTGATTCATTCAGCACAAAAATTTCTCTAGGGTCTGTAAGATCCCTCAAAGAATGTTTTAAAAAAGGTTGGCTATTATTGTTTCTGTACCACAGAAAATGATACATTTGAAAGAATATTGGTACATACGTTGGCGTCTTCCCATAATTCCTTATTGGTAGATATTATTGCCATGCTGAACTAAGTTCTTGGAGGGGAATTAAAAGCTATATATCCCCCCAAATCTGGAATCACTTCATTTATGAAGAACTTTGGAAATACTGAGCTTGGAATCTGGGGGAAAAAATATGATTACCTGATAAGTTTTCCTGGAACGCTGTTTGTGTTCCATACTTTAAAAGTTAGCTAAATGAAATTTGTGATTTTTCAAAATTTGAATTAACTTTGCGTGAAAGGCAAGGCAAGACCTTTTGATTCTATACGGTCACAGTTTGTTCAAAAATTAAGCTGTAATGATAGAATTGAAGCAAGTTATATAATTTTATTAGGCTAATATTATTTTTTCCTTAATGTTTAGAATTAATATAAATTACTGTGTGAAGGCTTTGTTGAATTTTTTAATTCTTTTTTTGTTACCTTCCCCTCCCCTCTCTTACATAGCTTGTTAGATATTTTTTTTTCTATTCTTACTTTTTTACTACATCTCTTTTTAATATATATTACCGGTATATGTTATATATGTTAACCTCCCAGAGTTACCTTATTCGTTAAACTGTAGGGACTTATAATAACAGTAACAGAGTTGGAAGGGACCTTGGAGGTCATCTAGTCCAACCCCCTGCTCACGCTAGGGATTCAAACCGCCGAACTGCCGACCTTTCTGATCGACAAGCTCAGTGTCTTAACCACAGGCAATCTCTGCAAATCAGATATGATTGCACAGAAAAAAATGTGGTTATAAAGTATCAGAATGGCTTAGTGCAGTGATGGCTAACCTTTTTGCCATTGCGTGCCAAAAGCGGGGGGATCGTGGAGGAATCATGCACGCATGTGCCCACACCCATAATTCTATGCACCCCACCCCTGCGCATGTGTGTGCGCCCCCCCATGCTTTCCCCGTTTTTGGCACGTGATGGCATGGTGGGCCGTTAGGCCCGTTTTTTTGTCCTCCCCAGGCTCCAGAGCCTTTCTAGGAGCCTGGGGAGGGTGAAAATGGCCTTCGCCACCCCCCTAGAACCCCTCCAGAGGCTGGAAATGGCCTGTTTGCCGATTTCCAGTGGGCCCAGAAGGCCCGAAAATCAGCTGGCCGGCACGTACATGTGCACCGGAGCTGAGCTTGTGTGCCCACCAATATGGCTCCGTGTGCCACCTGTGGCATGCGTGCCATAGGTCTGCCATCACGGGCTTAGTGCATATATGTTATAACCAAAACAAACAATATGTTTAATAATAGCAGTAACATAAAAAATATTATGGCCCCCAACTCCAGAAGTTTATGGGAGGCATAAACTTTAATGCGGCAACAGAGTGACTGGGTTCACATATTTCATGAGTCTGTATCGTGATTTATTTAGTTTTAGCTTAGTATATTGTTAAGGTGACCAATCGTCCTCCTTTAGGGAGGACAGTCCTTCTTTTGTAAGTTCTGTCCTCTCTCGAAAAGTGTCCTCCTACATGTCCTCCTTTTCCATATTTGAAGACTAATCTGTAAATCTCCGTATTCGATCGATGCCGATCCGATCCGTTGCGTGTGATGTGACGTATTTGTATTTGACATGACGATTCATCAAGGCTCGGTACAGTGTGGTGAGACGCGATTATGAGATGCATGCGCTCCACACAGGAGAATTGTTTTGAGAGAGTGCGCCGTGCGCAAGACTGCGCCGCGTACAAGTGGCTTTGTTTACTTCTTACCGAAACATGACACGGCACACACGCACACATTAGACTCATTGTTGCAATGATTGAAATGTTTCTTTTATTTACGATATTTTTTTTCTTCAATTTATTTGTGTCCTCCTTCTCACTGTAAAAAAGTTGGTCACCTTAATATTGTGTGTTAATCTAGTCATTGCACTAAACCATAGCTTACTATTAAATACAATGAGTAACATCTCTAATAATAATTCCTAATAAACTTTACAGCTTTGCCTTCAGACATTTAAATTCTCCAAGAACATAGTTGTATTTAGCAATAATTACATATCATTTCCTCATTCAAAAAAGAAAACTTATAAACATGCTTTTTCAAAAAGCTGTGCTTTTTGATTTTTCACCTTTTCCACGCAAACTGTCATACAGCAGTGATGTAGGTGTGTAAGCAGACCTACACTAGGCCCAGAACATTTAATCCATTAGTGCTTACAAATTCCTGCTAATGTGCTAACACAAGTTGGAGTCTTTTGAGCTGAAGACTATCATATATAGAGTAAACTTTTTCCTTTTGTCAGAAGAATGGAATCTTTCCGCTTTGCGTTAATTATATACATTTTCCCTTATTGTCAGCTTTGCTTTTTGATAAAATCTAAAGCTTTGTCTGATTTTTATCAGTGCAGCAATCTTTGTTCACACACACACACACACACACACATTCTTTTTCTGTCTCTCTTTCAGTTTTGTTATTTATCACTTTATTTGCATATAGGCATATTTACTATCATTTTAGAATCATTGTCCTTTATATTTTGGTAGTTTAATTCGAGCAGATTTCCTGGTGCTCGCTATAACAATTGCAGAATGGAAGTTAGGAACGCCACCTGTATATCAATATTCTATTGGTTCTCCAGTCTCTTTGGATGCAAACCCCGTTCTTTCTGAAGCAGCCTAGCCCTGCACAACTGATGTATTTTAGATCACTTGGGTCAATTTACGTTATCTGCATAACTATGCAATTGCCAGCTTTATGTCCTATACTTCAATTTATTTCATAATGCAAATGATACAAAATATCAATTTTGTAATTACACAATCTAAATTAACACTGATGATGTAAATTTGGGTTTAAGTGATATTTAACAAATGTACATTTGGCTTTAACTAACACTAATGATGTAAATTTGGGCTTAACTGACATTTGGGAGAAAGGCACTCCTTTCTCCCAAATTGTCTACTAAATCAAGTTATATCTACTGCTTCTTGAACTTTGAATTTTCTGTCAATACAAATTTAACAATCAATCCATATGGCAAGAAAAAAATGCACAGCATTTAGCAAAATTTTAGTTTCCAGGAATATTTATTTTTATTTTCTGCAATTTTTTTCTTACGCACCAGAAAGATAATTGGTATTCCTTCAGATGTCCTTATTGCCTGCTTTCTGTATGCAAAGCCTAGGGAATAAATGAGAACCTGCTCTTATAGAAACATTTATATATGACTATTGGCATACGGCTGATGAACTGGGATTTGTGACCAAGACACATAAAGTGCTCCTTTTGGTCAGTTTCCTCCGTAATACTATATGAAGTAGCTCTCAGCTAGCAGTGAGAAAATTTCTCATTGAAAGAGACTCCAGAACAGAGGCAACATTCAGAACTGGATTTCAAAGCAGAAATGTGAATCCCTCATTCCACATTAAAAAGATGACCCTCCCCAATAAAATACATTGCAGTTTTACAACAGTAAGAAATGTGATGCTGACCAAATGTTGTTGAACTACAACTCTCAATTTCCTTTGCTATTAGTTAGGGTTGCTGGGAAAAAGTCTTAGCTTTCCTATCCCTGTTGCGTAAGGTCTTGAGATGCTGAGTCACTACAGCAATACACATCTCATTCATTCTCAGTCTTTTTTTTTTATTTCAGCTATGCATTGAATTCATCAAAGACACACTAAACGTGAACCAAGCATGTGAGGCCTTTCAGGTAAGTAGTGATGTTCCCAGGCTTGATCATATGTCACTCCCTGAATCACTTTAAGGCTAGAAGCAGGAGATCTTTCCCAGAAAGCCAAAGCTACAGACCAGTAGTGGGTTTTACTTATCTTTGCAACTGGTTCGCTCGCGCGCGTGCCACTTCTGTGCCTGCGCAGAAGCTTCTCCGCATGTGCAGAGCTTATTTGATGACTTCCGGGTGGGTGAGTGGAGCCTCCCACCACCGCTACTACCGGTTCTCCTGAACCGGTGTGAACCGGGAGCAACCCACCACTGCTACAGACATTGACAGCTGTCTAATTCTATGCAGATTCCTTGTTGTTAGGCTGAATTCAAAGACATGCAATGCCTTAATTGGTAAAAACACATGAAATCAGTTGTGTTGATTGTAAACAGACAGCAGTGGTAGAAATCTTCATCATAGACTACCTATGTTGAGTAACTGTTATGGAAAGACTAGCACTAGCAAACTTGCAGTTAATCACCTTTCCTGATAAGCCGTGATGAGTAAGCATTGCCTGCCTCCATCTTACCAGTTGGATGGAGATAGGGAATAATGTTGAAATGCGTTGATAAGTGGATTAGCAGACAAGCAGACAAGCAAATACTATTGAAAGAAAAAATGCTATAAGAGAGATATGTTTACCTAATAGCGAGGCCTTATGGTATGAAGTACCATAGTAACCAGAAGCTTGAATTGCCCCCAGAATTCTACTAACTGACAACTAGTACAGCTCACAAAACAGGGATTGCCATGGCATGCTCAATACTATTTGTGTCACTGCATTCTGGACCAGCCGCAGCTTCCAAGAGGACTTTCAGATAGCCCCATATAGAATACATTGCAATAATCCATATATAGGATGACTGAGGCATGAGTGTCTATTTGGAGGGCCTCTGGCTTATAGGATGAAGTTCTAGCTTTCCTAGCACTAGATACTAATTGCTCTTCAAGGAGGAGCTGCAAGTCTAGGAATGTCTCCAAATTGTGTACTAATCCTGAATAGGAAAGAGCAGCCCTATTAACAACTGAAAAGCCTTGGTGTTGCAGTGGTTAGAATGCAGTATTGCAGGCAACCTCTGCCCACAGCTTAGAGTTCGATCCTAAGGGGACTCAAGGTTAACCCAGCCTTCCATCCTTCCGAGATCAGTAAAATGAGGACCAGATTGTTGAGGGCAATATGCTGTCACGGTATACCACCCAGAGAGTGCTGTAAAGCATTATGGGCTGTTATATAAGTGCTATTGCTAAAGATGGACATTCTCCAAAATCAGGTGGTCGAGATATCCGGTTACTTGGTATTGCTAAGGCTGAATTTGAGTCTGTTCCTTTCCATCCAGACCCTTTACAGTCTCCAGCCATTTGGGACAATAAATGAATTGTTATACAAAGACTAGGTACTGCAATGGAATGGAACTAAACAGGATATTTTTGCTTTCTGGTAAATGAGTCTCTTTACCAGAAGAGTCATGATGTGTTTCTCAGGGTTTGGACAAAACAAGTCGCAAATACTCTTATTGTAGCTATTACAGTTTTAATTCTGAGGGAAAAAACCTGAATTATTGGAAAAGTACCGTATCTGGAAAAACAGCACCAATCTGGTGGTGAGAGAAGCATTGGAAACCCATTACTGTTGCAATTTTCAGTATCGAAAAAAGGGTTTTTCCAATTCAGGGGGAAGGAACATATAGCCTCTCTCACATGTCCTCCCCCTTCCCGACTTCAGTTCTATTCTGCATTGAAAGCCAGTCGTGAAATGTTGCTGTCTTTGAACTTCCCCCACTTCGGAGATCTTTTTCAGGGATATTACAAAGTACCCCACTGTGCCAAGGGCTTTTGTACTGCAAGCCTTTCAACACCAACAAACATTTATCCTGGCTCATTCCATATTAGCTGACATGCAGAACCATATTCAGAAAGTGAAATACAGTATAAGAGCAACCATCATGCGAAATGGTGGCAGCTTTCAACATTTCCCTAAGCCAGAGATCAAACACAGAATACAATGATTCCTGTTCTGTTTGGTTTTTGTTGCTTTACTTTGCTTCTGTTTGCATTGGATTGTTCGGTTTCACTGTGTGAAAGTTAACAGGATGTGCCACATGATGTGGTGCAGCCATTTCTGTGTTGTTTATGTAGGCTATCTCAGTTCAATAGCACATATTCTGTGTATGCGGCAGGAGGATGAAAAACTTTGCTGTAACAAAAGGGGCTGCGTCATTTGGGGCTCTTCAACATGGCCCAGTTATTTTGTTCTTACCAGCAACGTCAGCAGTATAAAACTTGCTGTCCCCATTGATGAGCCCAATTCTGCTACAAGCGTAATGTTGGCAAATGATGGTGTCTTTATTTATGGTGTACAAGACACAGTTGATGGATTGCCCATACATTATTTCCTCCTTCCCCCAAAGTCATCAGCTGGTGGAAGAATCATCCTCTACTATAGGAATAGAGTTGAAGGAGTGGGTCGGTTATGAAAAAGAGCCAGATAGCAAGTTTATCCTTCTTTCAAAATGTGCTGATTTTGTACAAGTACTCAGGTGTGTTCAAAGAGAGCCTCACAGCTCATGGTTCAGCTCCTTTTGGACACAAATTTATGGCTATTCCAGAATAGCTCATTCAGAAATTATGCTAATCTTATGTTCAAAAAAGCATGAGACCCATTCTGTATTCAAAAGAAGTCTGTACAACAGTTGACAATATTTCACCATGCAGATTCACTGTGTAGCTCCACTGCTGTCATCACGGTAGATTTTCAGTGTTTTCCAAATAATCTAGGTCTCCAAGACCTGATGGGCACAGGAGAAAACCCAGTTTGAAAGAGTTATCAGAATGGCCCTGTAAAATAATCTCCAGGAACTGGAGGGCATGTCTGCTCCAATGTCAGGTGGCAATAGATTCTGGATTAATTTTCTATTGATAAAATAATCTGATTAAATAAATCTGTAGTGCTGCTTTCCGGACCTGGCTTAAAGTGATATTAGCATACACAGCTTTGTGTTATGCTGGACAGCTGGTGTCACAAATTGAGAGCCTTGGGGGGGGGGGGCTTATTTCTAGTTGTGTTGCAGTTATGCCCAGCTGTGCTAGGCAGACACTACTGTAATATGATAGTTATGAAGAAATTGCAAACAGAAGTGTTTTAAGGTGCAGTCTTGAATCACAGCCATGTGATTCATATTCTGTGTGTTCCTGAATCTATGTTTCAAATATGCCCACATTCCATGCTTATGACAGAGACTGTAGGATTTTTGTAACTATGCAGTTTGCCCATCAGCATAACCATATCATATTATAAAAGTCATAAAAGACAATCTGTGACAATCTAGATATGCTTGTTTGTTTTTCACATTCCTACATTAATACGTAATCATCCAGTGTAAAATTACAGGGAAATTCTGTTTCGGATATGAAAAGCCAATCATCGTTCTCAGAAAGAAGTTCTGGTTTCAATTCTTCCCAATCCTGTTCTCAAAGAATGATTTCCTCTGCTAAATTTGGAACTAAGAATTTGCAATGAAGTCTGTTTGTATGGTTAATTTCTGTTCCTCACTTCAAATATCAGCCTTCTTTAAAGCTTTCAATGCAGATACCTTTATATCTATATATATGTCTGCATGCACATGTCAATTAATTTTTAAAATATATTTAATATATTGTAGAAATTTATAATCTGTTAATAAACTTCCTTGGGGAGTTTACAAAATTTAAAATGTAAATTAAAAATCTAGTTTTTTTTTTAAAAAAAAAACACTTTATCTTGTGTCTCCAGATGCATTCTTTGTTGCTGTAATTTTCTCAAAAAAACTTTTGTGAAATAATAGTGGAACTAAAGCCAGTTAACTGCCTGTTATTTTTAGTGTTGTTATTTTTAAATGGGCCTAACTGATACCTCTGTAGCCTAAGGAGTATAGTGACCATAGAGAGGAAATCCTCCATTCACTTCAATACCTCCACTCATTCACCCTAATTAAGTTTCATTGCTCTAACAGTATCATTATGGCACCCATCATTTGTTGGGGTGGGGTTTAATGAAAAATGAGCACTGCTGCGTTCCTATACTGTAATTACCCTCCAGCCTAGCCGAACACTATTAGCATATATTGCTTTTTCCTATGTCTTCAAACAAGTGATATCATAGGCTAAAGTACAGTACAAGAGTTACTCCAAATTACTCAATACATAAAACTATGTTTTCCTTCCAACCAGATATGGGGTAGGAAACCTGCAGGCACTTTTTATGACCTTCTGAAGTATTAAGCTAGGCTGCTAAACACTAATGGCACAGTTTCTCACTATCTTCATGTTGGAAACACAAGAGCAGTATTGTAAAAGCTGTAAAACAGCCTCCCACCGGCTGGTACGCTCTCATAGAGAGGGGCTCCTCCAGGTGCTGTCAGCCAAGCAGTGTCGACTGGCGGCGCCCAGGGGGAGGACCTTCTTTGTGGGGGCACCCACTATCTGGAACGAGCTCCCCCTGGAGATACGGAGGATCCCGGATCTGCGCACGTTCCGCTGTGCTCTTAAGATCCTCCTATTCCAGCAAGCCGGCCTGGTCTAATTTTCTCCCCTTTCTTTTAAATTTTTAAATTGATATTTTAATTTGTTTTAAATTATTGGGATTTTTAATTGTCTTGGGCTAAATTATTTAATTTGGTTTTAATTATGTTTCTAACTTTTGTATTTATGTATTTTATTTTGTGCCTGTTCACCGCGCTGAGTTCTTCGGGAGTAGGGCGGTATATAAATTTAATAAAACATAAAACAAAACAAAAACAAAATAGGCATATCAGAGTAAAAAATAGGAAAGAAACTCAAATTCTCCCCATTAACAAAATTCAGACCTGACCTGACCTGACCCAAAATGTGACTCCACTCCAATCTTGAGACAATGGGACTCAAACTGCCAAACTGCTTTGCAACGTTTAGCATTCCCTGGTTAATTGCAATTCTTGACCACCAAAGATGGCCTAGTCCTGCACTGTGGTTTGCTTTTGCCCATTAGGACATTACACAGTAGTTGCTTAGCAACCATTCAAAGTTATAATTGACCCCAAAAAAGGTACTTACAAGCCAGATTCAAAGTTCCAGTGGCCATTTCCCCTCCCCCATGGTCATGTGATTGCATTTTGGGCACTCAGCAATTGGCCCGCATTTATAGTCACCAGTTCGCAATGGGAGCGCTCGTGTGCAGCGCTTCTGTGCATGCGCAGATCGTCCGTGATGACGTCCGGGCGGGTGGGTGGAGCCTCCCGCTGCCGTTACTACCGGTTCACAAGATCCGGACTGAACCGGTAGCAACCCAGCACTGAATACTGCCTTACCTTTATATTGTATTTATATTGCTTCAAGGGCTCTTTAAAAAAAACTTAAAATAGAACATATAAATAAAATTTTATGCCTGAGATTTTAATTTATAATATGATTTTTTTCTTAAATCATTATTGGGATCACATTTATATAATATGAGGCCTTAGAATAGTGTGTAGTTCCTGAAAACCTTGGTACGGTCCCCAGCAGCCTTCCTCCCAGAATTTCTGGCTGAAATTACTTTAGGTAAAACATTCAGAGCATGGTTTCTTGAACTCTGTACATAATCCTACTATCTCTTCCATAGGGATATATTGTGGATTTTTTTCCTATATTTTTTCCCTCTAATTTATGGCTTGATCCAGCCCATTTTAAAAGCATTATTTCTTTTGCCATCTTCTCTCCCAACACCAAGATAATCCTGTTCTGTTGCATTGTCGGAACATTATTATTCTACTGATGAATAGTCCTGAATAGTCCTGAGAATTTCATGCAATTTCTTTTCAACATTCTGAATTTGATGCGAATTTGAAGTCCACACATCTTAAAAGTTGTTGAGATTGGAAAACATTGGTATGGTGTAACACATAGTAGCCTCTTTCATAGTCAAATTCAGATTAGCCTCTTTAGTGTCTCACAGACATGTGTAGGTACCGGGGAGATTCGTGAGTAATCCAGGAGCAGGGAATGAAAGTAGAGATTAGCGCTGCGGGCTCACAGGTGCATTCTTTCTTGTTTTCTGCAAAAAGAACCACACATACGGAAAAACCTCTATATGTAATTGATGAACTTTGTGGTGTCATGGTGGTGTTTGCTAAACTCTCCCTTTGTGCCTCTGAGGCACACCCACACATTTAAAAATGGATTCCCCTCTTTGTATTTTCCATAACCGCCAAGTAGCATTTAATTTATGTGTTTGTCAAGTGATGCATAGTTATTTATGAATATATACATTACTTGGTTAGCCCACTTTGAAAATCAGAGGAGGACGGACTGGGGTCACTAAAAACCATGGTCTGTGTTCTTTTTTCAGGACATATAGATACCAAATCAAGGTACAAAAACAACACAGCTGTGGTCAGATGTGTTTTGCATGATGTTTGGTATTTACTGTTTTTGAAGCGGTTGTGAGTTGCATGCTTACCCTATGTGGGACTGGTGTATCCTGAATTCAACTGGCAAGATAATGTGGTTTGCCACAATCACATTGTTTTCACACATATACTCTGTAACAGAAATTGTTTATATCTTGCAGACTGCCTATTTTATTCCTTTTCACTCCCAGCTGCAGTTCTGCTTACTGAACCTGGAATATGTCAGAAAAAAACAGTAGTTTTAATCTGATGGGGAGCAGTAGAGCAAGCAAAATGAGATGTAAACATGTCACATGGAGACTGAATCCCCATTCAGTCTAGGCATAAGACAGTGACTCTCCATACTTTCAAAATGAACTCAGCACTACATAGTGCTGAGATATTTCCATTACTCTAGAGAATCCAAAGCAAACACCAGTGACTTTAAAAAAAAAAAAAAAAAAAGCCTGGTGATGCATTTAAAAAGAAAACCAAAATGTTTGATCTCCAGGGGTAACAGAAACATGTCTGGTGATAAAGTAATATTGTCAGTGGTTGGGGCTGAACATTTTCTGCCTTTTTCCAATCCAGACAGTGACAAGTTGATAATAGGACAAAAATGGTATTTTTTAAAAATGCATAATTTTACTGCCAATTTTGTCAGTGCAATCTAAATACCAGGTAATGACATTTGAGAGCCACATGGCATATATATATATATATATAATTTGTATTTTCAGATAATGGTCGGAGGACAGATTCCACAGCTGTTTGTTAGGGTGCGATTTGCAGATTTTGCCTTTAGAAATAGTTTGATTTGAAATTCCTTTCATAAAAGGAACAAAAATGTGTTCCTGTTAAAATTATAGACAACATTAGTTCAACAATAAACTGTGTCCCCCGCTTCCATCCACCCCATGGCACAACAGCACAATCAGACAAGCTCTAAAGGAGTCCCCCCCAAACCTGCTGACAAAACTATGTATTCAGTGCCTTGTGGAAAAGCAACAGTGTGGGATGAGTCCTATCTAAGGGGAGTGATGTTTCAAAGGGAGAGAGCCACTACAGAAAGGCCCTTTTTCTATGTGTACCTTCCTGTTGTGGGACTTGCAACATGCCCTGTCTTCCTGTTCTGGTAGATGTAATTGGGGAGAGACCAATTGATCTAATGTATCTGTTAATAATACTGAATTATACCCTCAGTTTATTAAGATCAATTTTCACCCATCTTTCATTTCTTTAGATAATGTAGATACTGTAACCTCAACAATTTTGAGTGAACACATCTGAAAGATACCAGCCAGGAAGTCTAAACTAGATATTATAAAAAAGTAAAGTGGAACAGGGAAATACAGAGACTTTAAATGACTGCAAAATTATCTGTCTCCTTATATAGAGTTGCTAAAGATTATAATATCTAATTGTTCACCCATGAAAAGACCCTGAAATGTTGGAATAAATATTTCATTTATTTTATTCTTGCCCATAATAATGCCTTCAAAAATATAGGCGATAAATGCGGTTGTACCCACTGTAGTCATTTTATCCATTTTTTAAAATTTTTTTACTCTCTTTATGACAGGCAGCAGTAGCCTATGGACTACTAGATTTGCAAACATATTGCTTGGCCTTCATTGAGAATTATACTCAGGTAAGAAGATGTAGATATTGAGATGACATGCAGAAAGGAGGCCCAATACAATGTTTCCTATTCTAACCAAGACTGTGGGGAATGAAGAGAATTTATAATAAATTAATGTAATTTTCTTTCCTATTGGACCATGGGTATATATGTACAGTTGTATGAATGTATGTATGAATATATGTATGTATGCACTTACTTAATATGGCCACTCACCTCACAGCAATGACTCTGGGTGGTGCATAACAATTAAAAACCCAGCAGTTACAAACAATAGCCCAAATAATACATTTGAACCATATATATAAAATAAACTTCCTTGCATGCAGAAACTCTCGGTACTATTACATAGGGCTTCCAGACATTTTCCTATACAAACAATAGGCATTGCACTTAGATTTGGCAATGCTATTATGTCTTCAGCTTTCAGACTGAGTTGTACAACCATTGTACATCAGCAGTATTCAAGATTTGATCATCTCTCTACCTCAAAAAAGTTTTTTTGTTCCATGGTGCAATAGGAAATGGTGGCATAGAAATTATGTTGGTGAGTAATATAATGGGGAACTGGATTGCCTTAACACTCTCTTTTTTCCACAGACTCTTCATCTTTATCTGAAGTTCTTTATCCTCATATTCCGTATCTCAGAGATATACAGCATCTTTTTTTCTCCCTAGGAAGTGACCCAAACACGTGGGTTCTTGGAACTCTCAGAACAGGCAATGCAAATTATTTTGCAGAGTGACTGTTTGGCTATTGATGAGGTGAAGCTGATCCATACTGTACGAGAATGGGCTCATGTTGGGTCTGTAAGTACTGATAGTTTAGATGGGGTGGGAGTGTGTGGAATGGCCCAAGGTTTAAGTTTTTTTAAAAAATAAGCTTCATAGAACTAGAGATAATTCTCCTCAAATACTTAATGGTAGTCAGTGATAATAAAACAATATTATGATAACAATAGACTTGTTATGATAACAATAGACTTGTTGAAATAACAGCAGGGATAACATCATTAAGTAAAAATAGCACAAGATAATGATAAAATAGAAGGAGAATAAAAAACTAATAATCCTGTAGTTCCTGAAAAAGTATAATAAAAGAAGTTTTAGAACCCTGCCGGATAGTTTCCATCTCAAACCCATATGAAAAACTGGATTAGAATGAATCCAAATGTTTACAAAAGCTGTCTACAATTGAGAAGGTATTCCTCAGTTTAGTCTTATACAAAAATATCAGGTTCATGTTAAGCTATGTACAAAATATATGTTGCTGTTGCCTCTTTTAAATTTTCTGATTTCAGTTAATCAGAACAGCACCATCTCTTAATGCACGTGTCCCCAACCCCTGGTCCCCAGACTGGTACCGATCCACGGCCCATTGAGGATCGGGACACATAAGCGGAAGTGGCAGGCATGCCCACCAAACTATCCCCTCTCACCCATCACCTCTGGTACCACCGGTCCGCAAAGCTAGACAGGTTGGGGACCAGTGTCTTAATGGGACTTTTATTGCAGTGTTTCTATAAACAGAATCTAGCCCTGGGTAATTTCAAATATCAGAATAGGCAATCTTAAAGAGTGCATTGTTCCCATCCTTTTCAGGGGCTTGTCAATATCCTCAGGCTACAAAAGCTGAAAAGCTGAAGGATATGCTGATATCCTTCAGGAAAGCTGGTTCTGTGATAACAGATCAGCTGATTCCTTGGCTATTTCTAATTCTATTAAAAATAATGACATATCATAACTTTTGGGCAATATGTGGCATCTTTCATTTATCTTTGGTGCCCTGTAGGAGGGGAACCATGTTAGTCTATGATAGCAAAAAATCAGAAGTCTGGTAGCACCATTTCTGACAAACACATTTCATTATAAGATATAAGCAGCGCCTTCTGCTCTTTTGATATTTCGGGTGCATATATAGTAAATGTTTTTTTTTCAGAATCCTATACAGTAGTCCTTGACTTATGACCACAATTGAGCCCAAAATTTCTGTTGTTAAGTGAGATATTTATTTTTCCCCATTTTACGACTTTTCTTGCCACAGTTAAGGGAATGCAAAAGGGACCTTGGGACACAGTGACGGTCATAAGTATGAACCAGTTGCCAAGCATCTGCATTTTGATCACATGATCATGGGGGAGGCTACAAAGGTTGTAACTGTGAAAAATGATCATAAGTCACTTTTTTCAGAGCTGTTATAACTTTGAACGGTCACTAAATGAGCTGTTGTAAATTGAGGATTACCTGTATTGTAATTAGAGCTGGAATTGTAGGACCAACAAATAGAATAGCTATTTATATAGTCGCTTTGAACTTCAGTATTGAGCTGAGAAATGGCAGGTATGCTAGCCAACAACAATTCTATTTTGTCTTTTCTTGTCTTGTCTTATTATTATTCTATTATTTTATTCTATTATTTTATTTTATTTTATTTTTTTACTAATTTATTTTATTATTTTATTATTATTCTTTTCCGTCTTTATTATTTGAAGCCGTTCTAACTTGTGCTCACTCCCTGCAGGCTGTGCTTGATAGGACAGTGCATGACATGGCACGAACGGTGGTGCCACAGCTCCGTCTGGCTCTGCTGTCCCCAAGGGAACTGACCTCTCTGGAAGAAGAGAACAAAAAAGACCAGATGATTCCGGTGAGGGGGGCTATCAGCCTCTGTGTAGTTTCTGCATGCATTTGAGACCTGACACATTCCCATTCAGCTTCTACCACTTTTGTCATTTCCTTGGCTTGCGTGTTCTTACGTTATAGCCCTCTTCTTCCATTTAAGGAGGTGAATTAACTCACACAGGATAGGGCCTCTGGTGGTCTCATCCATTTGATTGGAAATTCTATGTTAGAATATCCATCAGAGGATATATTTTTTTTAATTTTGAAATACCACACCCCACCAAAACAGATGGTGGCAGCAGAATGGTAGAAATGAATAGAGCTTTTTGCCATCTGTGTCAGAAGTTCACAGAATTTACTGTGTTCTCAAAAGTTGTACAGAAATCTTATCATATTTGGGAAGGATGCGTTTGTAAAAAGTTGTTATATATTTAGGTAAACCATTTATTAGGAAAATTGCATAAACAAAAAGAGAGAGAAGATGTTAAAAATTCATGTTATAGCAAGTGCAAATTTTGGGGGTTATTTTAAAAAAAGAATCGCACTGATGAATTAAAAGAAACAAATCGGTTAAATTTAAACCTCCCACTGATCTGTCCAGTCTTGCTTAGAAAAACTAAGCACAGCACAAAGTACAAACAAATTTCAAACAAAACATATTAAAGAAATACGGGCTGAACAGTCCACTGTTGCCATAATAGATTGCTTAACGACATTTTGTGGGGTGTGAGTGTGTGTGTGCAATGGGAAGGATTCAATGGATTAATCTCAGAGCCGACATGTCTGGCTGGCTACCCACTGAACAGGAACTATTCAAACTACAATCCTTTGTGGCATATCCCAGTTGTAAATAAGTAATCCCAACATTGCAGGGAAAGGCTTTAGTGACTAAGAAAAGAATAACTAGTAAATTGGCAGGGGATGTCCTCTCTGCCTTTGAGAAAGAGACGCATCCATTTTCCATGGCACCTCTGTAACTTATTCTGAATGTGTTACCTATTAAGTTCCATTCCTACATAGTACCAGTTCAAATATTCTGTAACTCTTTTGTCCCCTCCTAGGTAGAGAGTTTTGCTGAGGCCTGGAAAACCCATGCTCTGTGGAAGAGGCGTGGGATGCAATCCTCATGCCAGCGCCGGCGTGGCACATTGCCTCGAGTCCATCATCGCCACCTTGACCCCCAGCATAAGTGACATGATATCCTTGGGATGAGAGAGGAAGCAGCACTTTTCGTGCCCAGCCAAGGGCCAGTTTGGTCTAGTGATTAAGGCACCAGGCTAGAAACCAGATCTAGTCCTGCCATAAGCATGAAAGCTGATTGGGTGATTTTGGGTCAATCACTCTCTTTCAGTCCAACCCACATCACAGGATTGGTGCTGTTGTAGGGAAAATAGAAGGAGAAAGGAGTATTAGGTATGATCACTGCCTTGAGTTACTTATAAAAAAAATTCCTTTCTTTGATATGGGCTGCTGCCCTTGGATGCTGTATGTCAGGGGTCTCCAACCTTGACAACTTTAAGACTTGTGGACTTCAACTCCCAGAGTTCTTCTGTATTCTCTGAATCATTGACCTACCTAGCAACCAGGCACTCAAACAAATAAATCTAGGCAGGGCCTGGATCTTGATCCAAAGCAGCCTGGGTATCTGACATTTACTTGATTGGAACAGCAGATACATTATGTTAATAGCCACAGCAGAGTCAGATCTGATTCACTTTGAATTCTGAGAGTTGAAGTCCACAAGTCTTAAAGTTGCCAAGGTCGGAGACCCCTGCTGTATGTACATAATCTGGTCCAGAATTTGGGGTTGATCTGCTGTTCCTTCCAGCAAAGGTGAACAATTTAATTTTTTTTAAAAAGAGCTTTTAATCATCAAGGAAACTTGTCAGCTCTGTAGCCATTCCTTATATTAATTCCTCCACTTTAACCCATTTGCTTCCATTTGCTATTAAAGATGGCGCTGCCTTGTCTTCCACACTATCTCTTCTGTTCCTTTTGAGCAAATAGCTATACTCCAGTCATAGGGCCCATCCCACCAGCTCTTTGTTGTACCTATTAAATATTTGCCTTCCTGTCTGAAGATCACTGTACAATCCTTTTGCAAACAAATGCCAAACATTTTAGAGTGATTACACTTGGGAGAGTGATTTTGTAACAATCTGAACCCTATCTGAAAATGCCTGACCTCTTGATCGGACTACTGCCCGTACCCTTTATAGAAATATATTTTTATATGGACCCTTTTGTGTGGAACATCTAATGGTTCACATAAGCAGCACTAATAGCAATCTATTGATTTATCATTGTGTGTGAGTTTGTTTTTAAAGACCAAGATTTTTTTTTAATGTGCTAGATTAGAAGCAACTTCCTTGCTGCACTGTCTCTTACAAAGCTTTGTAGAGAAGTGCATACTGGGGGGGGGGGGGACGGAGGGGGGGGGGCAAGGTAACCTGATCAAGTAAATGACTTGTCCCACCAGGGTGCATTAAGAATTCAAAGTGAATCTGATCTGACTCTGCTGTGGCTATTAACATAATGTATCTGCTGTTCCAATCAAGTAAATGTCAGATACCCAGGCTGCTTTGGATCGAGATCCAGGCCCTGCCTAGATTTGTTTGTTTGAGTGCCTGGTTGCTAGGTAGGTCAATGACTTGGAGAATATAGAAGAAAGAAACCTCTCCTTCACCCTGTTGCAATATATTGAATCACCTGGTTCAGGCATTGCTTCTCCTGTGTGTGAAAATGAGAGTGGGAGTAAGATTAGCCAACAGTACATGGATAATGCAGTTATGATCTAAAATAGCAAATATTTTGCAAAGAAGTAAACCAAGATCCACATTTGATGAGCATTGTGTGATTTCTAAAAATGGTAAATGTAATTGTTTATGAGGCAGAGGGATTTAGAACAGACTGGCCTTATGGGGTTATATACTACATTTTGTTTCTTGCCATGATCTGAATTCAAACTGCCCTCTCTCCTTGGCTTTATTTGCCATTTTGGAAGTAGGTAGAAGATTCCTATTATGCTGTGGTATTTTATGTGTGATTCCAAAGCACCTGTATTTAATTCTCAAAACAAACCTTAACAAATGCATTATTTAAAAAGCTACGAAGACATAAGACCTTTCAAATACTGAAAATATCTGAAACTACAGCAAAAAGTATAGAATAGCTTCATATAGCTCTTCAGAATTAAGTCCTTTTATTAATAGATCACATCTGTTCTAATAGAATATTCTCTGGTTGCCCAACTGTACCCTTTTATTTATTCAAGTGGAAAATCCATTGAATTAATAAATGTGCTCCCATTTTGTTGTTTCTTACGTCAATTATGTAAGGCAGAGTACATTTGAATTTGGTGTTCCTATGTGTTCTGTTAATTAACACTATAATAATGGATTAGGTGATTCCATTGGTAGGAGATTTTATCACTTCTACTCTCTCAACTACTTCTTGACTCAAAATCAGCCTTCTTGAGTCTTGTTCCTCACATTAGTTGGTTTACAACAAACAGCCTTCTTTACCAACACAGCCATTACCCAGATAGACTATACTGAGTGGGGATGATTGGATGTATAGTCTAAAACACCTGGAAGATATCAGGTTGTGGAAGGTGAGTCACAGCCGACAATCCCTCCCCATTGCCATTTGCTTTGTGTGGCTTTACAGTAAGGCTGTTTAATTTTGCATGGTTGCTTATTACACATTGTTTTTTCTGTTCCCCCCCTCCTCCGCATGTATGCAGCTGTTATGTAAAAATGACTGTCTTATGCATACACAATCCATATACAGTATGAATATAGGTACAAAGCAAAGATTTCCCCTGTCCAGTCACTTCCAACTCTGGGGAGTGGTGCTTATCTCCATTTCTTAGCTGAGAGAGTCAGCGTTGTCCAAAGATATTTCCATCGATATGAATATACATGTATGCAATTACATTTGAGAATATAAATTCCTTAGGAGTTTCTCCACCCTCTCCTGCTTAGCAACATCAAATAATACACATCCTGACTTTCAGGCACTCCTTATAACACTCCAGGGACCAATTTATTCTCAATGCTGCATCTTTGAACTCAGCATCCATGCATACAATCATTCCCAGTGACCCTTAAACCAAACTTTTATTCAACCACTTTGTCTTCATCATCTACTGATCCCAGTCATATTTAGAATAGAAAGGAACAGAACAGAATAACAAGAGTTGGAAGGGACCTTGAAGGTCTTCTAGTCCAACCCCCTTCTCAGGCAGGAAACCCTATACCATTTCAGGCAATTGGTTGTCCAATCTCTTCTTAAAAACCTCCAGTATTAAAGCATTTACAATTCCTGGAGGCAAGTTGTTCCACTGATTAATTGTTCTAACTGTCAGGAAATTTATCCTTTATTCTAGGTTGCTTCTCTCCTTGATTAGTTTCCATCTGTTGCTTCTTGTCCTGCCCTCAGGTGCTTTGGAGAATAGCTTGACTCCCACTTCTTTGTGGCAGCCCCTGAGATATTGGAACACTGCTATCATGTCACCCCTAGTCCTTCTCTTCATTAAACTAAACATACCCAGTTCCTGCAACCGTTCTTCATATGTTTTAGCCTCCAGTCCCCTAATCATCTTTGTTGCTCTTCTCTGCACTCTTTCTAGAGTCTCCACATCTTTTTTACATCGTGGCGACCAAAACTGGATGCAGTATTCCAAGTGTGGTCTTACCAAGGCATTATAAAGTGGTATTAACACTTCACATGATCTTGATTCTATCTCTCTGTTAATGCAGCCTGGAACTGTGTTGGCCTTTTTGGCAGTTGCAACACACTGCTGGCTCATATTTAAGTGATTGTGTATGTTTAGTGTAGCTTTATTCACAGGAAGCACTTTCTACGGAACAAATAAGTAGCTGATTTCTGAGAACACCAGTTTATCAGTGCTCACTCTCTCTTTTCATTATTTTTCTCCTCCACAGCTTCCACTGCTCCATGAAACAAGAGAAGCAAAAAAGAAAAAAAAAAGTGCCTTTGATTCATTGCCCTTATGAGATGCATTAGTCCCTGAAATCCTGATAGCATAGCAAAGCTGCATTTGAAGATATTCCCTCAGAATGGGCATGAATCAGGGAGACAGAACAGTGGAATAGTGACAGGTAGTTAGGTTCTCCAGTGAGAAAGAAAATGCCCCAAAGCACAGAATGATCTCATTGGAGTTTCTTAGGAGATGTAGAGGAAGGAACTGAAATATTAGTTTTCAAGGGGTGGTGAGGAAGTGGAATTTTTAGGCTTTGGCAGTCCATTTTTGCTGATGTGCTGCTGACTTCAATACAGTAGGTAAAGATGTCTGTCAAGCAGACATGCAGTAAAATTGTCATATGGTACTTTTAAAAAAATAAATAAATCTGAAAGCAGAAACCGGAGTGGCCTTGTTTTGGCTTCACTGAGACATACAAGGAACTGGATACACAGTATGTAATTGTTATACGGTAGATGTTACCTTGATTTTGGCAAATAAGGTGATGCACACAAATCCTTGTATCATGATAAAAAACAACAACAGGCATTTCAAGAGTTGTCCACTGTGGCTTCTATTCCATCCACTAGGGGCTAATGGGCACTGTGACATAAATGGAAACTGTCAGTGTAGGGCTGTCTAGTTTATGTGATCAGTTTCCTGATATATGATGGGTTTTCAGCTGTACCAGCTGTATCTGTATGTATATACCGTATTGGCTAAATTTCTCTTTATATTAGCTTATTTATAATTCTGTTAATTATATTGGCATATTTATAATTATAAACCATCTTTATATTTAATTCATACATAGCAATAATCTTTCTTCATCTAATTTCTACCTCTTATCTCTAACCATTCATAAAATCTATTCCATATCAAGTAATATTCTGTGTCTCCTTTTCTTTTATTTTCAAAGTCAATCTGTCTATCTTTGCTCAGTCTAATATTTTCTGAATTACATCCTCATCAGATGGAGTGTTCTCATTTTTCCAATATTGTGCAAATACAATCCTTGCTTCTGTCAGTACATGCAAAACTAAATATATAGTCCCTTTTATCATAACCCTCCGGCATTATACCCAACAAAAATATTTCTGGTTTCAGGTCTATATGTTGCTTAATCATCTTTTCCAACCAAGTATGTATTTTCTTCCAATATTTTCTTGCTTTCATACAAGTCCACTACATATGATAATAAGTACCTGGGATCTGATTACATTTCCAACATTTGGCAGACATTTTTGCCAATCTTGCCAGTGGCAAATGCCACCTATAAAATATTTTATAAAGATTTTATTTTAATGCACTCTTGTATGCCACCTAGAGTCTTGTGAGATGGCTGGCCATATAATGTGATAGATAAATAAAGAAAACTACATAATGAAGTTAAAGAGTCTCTCTATTTTTACTGGATGAAATTCTATGGAACATGTACATTTTCTTGTTATGCAGAATTATTAATAAACCAGACCAGATAAGTAATATTCTGCAGACTGAGCAAATTTTACATTCTAGAAGGCAACTTTTTACTCTTTCCCATATGTACTCCTTCCCATATTTCCTATTCCTAGATTAGGAAGCCTTAATTAATACCAGACTTTTAAAGGATATGATGTCACAAATTTGATTAGAGAACCATTTTCTTATTTCTTCCTACTCCATGCATATTCCTGTTCTTTGACAAAATCAGGAACTGAGAACCAGACTAACAGAGAGAGAGAGAGATCAGCTGAGGAACAGTGCTTGGTTCAAAATTACCCATTGAGTTTCGGTGGAGATTCTCAGTCATCCAGGTCATAGTTGTCTCAAAGGTGTTTTTTTTCTTTAAAAGGCAACTGAACTGGGTTTTTTTTTCCTTTGAGGAAGAAAAAAGCTTTAAAAAAACCCAGTTCAGCCTTTTGAAGAAGAAAAGCAGCTTTGAGATATCCACTGAGTTTCACGACAGTGATCTCACATGTAGATGGGTAAGATGGGATGAGATCTAGAGGCAGAAATAAGGGAGTTGAGGTCAATATGAAAGTTATGAAAAGCAAGGCATCTGTTAAACCACCGAGTTCTTTGCTAGATATTAACTATTTGTCTCAATTTTT